TGGAGTACTATCTGTGTTTCACTTCAGGTCATCTGATTTGATTGACCCGGTACGATTTATAACCTATATATATATATATATATATATGTACACCCACCACATCACATTGTTGGACCAAGTGTCTGGCCGAGTGTGGGGAGAGATTTGTTGTGTTGTCCTTGTAAGATACACGCCGTTGTCCATACATTTCATACATACGTCCATCCATCTAGCTTGAAGTACAACGGCGCTAAAGCAGGTTCCCCCATTTGATTGGGTTGGCTTTTGTAGATTCCAATCCATGTTCGACCTTCTCCTCCCCTGACTAATGATTCCTCTCTCTTTCTTTCTTTCTTTTTTCTTTCTTTCTTTTTTTTCTTTTTCTTTATCTTCATCATTGAAATCCCTTTGATCACCTGTTCTTTCCATTTCTCTGGTGGTCCTATTTCTTTGCATCCCCGAGTCTCTCCTTCACCCGCGCCCCTTTTTCCCATCTCTTTGTGTGATGGTCACGTCTCCCATCCCCAACCAAAAAAAGTGATTGATTCCCCGCCTCACGCCACAATTACACAAAGTGTCACCTCTTCTTTCATTATTCATCAATTGGTTCTGGAACTAATTGATTTCCTTTTATCCCATTCCTCAATCATATATGGGGATTTAACTAGCAAATTTGATCAATTCATGCTCCTAGCTAGTCCTTCACGATGAACGAACCATTTGTCGCAACTAAAAACCCAGGGCCCCCGAAGGCTGGCCCTTCGCTCCTGGCCTGTCTCCTTTGCCGGCATAAGCATCTTAAATGTGACGGGGTCACTCCTGTGTGTGGCCGCTGTGCGGCCACCGGATCAGAGTGCCAATATACTCCTTCGCGGCGCGGGTACAAAGGTCCGTCAAAGAAACGGCGTGCCAACCCATCCCCCGATGAAACGGCCGACGATCTGGCGGCCTCCTTCGACCCCCAGTCGGTTGGCTTGGTCAACATTCCCGCCGACTGGAATAGCCTGCAGAACGGTTTCCAGTACATGCCAACCGCCACCTTGACGACCCCATCCTCGGGAAGCCCCGGTTTGACCGAGAAGTCCAGCTCCTCGCAACCCGTCCCATTACACAACGAACCGCTTACTCCGGACTCCTCGTCCGCCGTCCCCGGTGATGGCTATTTAATCGATATTTACTACACATATTTCCACCCGTCCCATCCGATTTTACCTCCCCTTCGGTATCTGTATCGCTCCTACGTACCACCCTACCTCGACCATGTCATCAAATTTATCGGATCACACTTTACCCCGGCCGCCTCTAGCGAAAATTACCGACCCAACGTAATGTCGTCCGTCATGGAGCAGGAATCCTGTATAGAGAAGCTTCAGGCGCTTCTGCTCCTGGCCATTGTACTTCATTCGCGCAACGAGCGCCCCGAGGCTGGAGAATGTCTTGCCACGGCTGTGAATATAGCCTTTGAATTGGGTCTAAACAGTCAGAGCTGCGCAACGATGATGGGCGAGGGTGACCCGGTGCGAGAGGAGAGCCTGAGGCGCACGTGGTGGGAATTGTACATCATCGAGAACATGCTGACTGCACTTGGACTCCAGCGAACCGCTCGCACTGGGCTGGTGGTGCCTGAAGTCGGGCTTCCTTGTGAGGAGCGTATATATCAGGATGGATTGGCGCCACCACCTGCCCCGACGATTGCACAGTTCGATGAACGTGTATTCGCCGATGAGGAGAGAGACTTCTCCTCTTTTACTTACCGTATTGAAGCGGCTCGTATCCTTTCGCGGGTGGTGTCTATCCAAGACCTGGTGGAAGGCCAGCAAGACCATGTGGAGGCCATCGACGCGCGGATCACCAGTTGGTTCCACCACCTGCCGGAATCTAAATCCGAATTGTTGCGTTCGGATGGCTCGGTAGATGAGATGATGTTTCAGGCGACTATGGTCGTCAACGGTGCGGCGATCTACCTTCACTTCCCAAGATCCGATCTGCTGTCGTCGCCGGCGATGGCTGCGGAAGTCATCTGTGGCCATCATGGCCCGTGCAGCATCCCTGCGTTCTCGCATCATGCACACGCGATGAAGGCCGTGAAAGCGGCCAGTGAAATTTCTTCGCTGGCGTCTATTCGCATGCCAGTCGTGAAACATACCCCTTTCTTTATCTGTGCTCTAGTAATGAGTTCTATTGTGCAGCTGGCTGCCTGCTCCGTGAAAGCCGGACAAATGCCTGATCCGAGTCGAGACCGACTCACGCTCACCATTGGGGTCTTCAAATCTCTTGGCCGTACGTGGGCCATCTCCCAGGCCATTGTTCGCCAGATCAAGGCTGTCGCGCGCGATGTGATGGATCTTGGCTTGCGACCAACCATGGACCATATCGACTTGAATAGCGTCCTTGATAGCGGTCGATTCTGGATGCCTGAATCCCTTGCGCGGTAAAGAGCTTCAGTAATTTGGATCTACCCTCAAACTGGGAACCTCACCCCTGTTGATATCATCTGACGGTAAGACTATGGATACCCACCGCAGAGATTATTGCATAAAAATCAGCCCACATGTCGATGTAGCCATACCTACTGAAAAGAATGGCTATACTCACCCCGGCCCAATTGGAAAGGACATGACATATATTCACGTAGGCGTTTGTTGATAATTATAAGGAATTTGTCACTGGTACATATCATGATTGAACGCTAGATACTGGAGAAGTTTCATGTATCAAGGTTAGGCATATACTGGCACGCACGATCAATTATCATTTCATCACGAGTTGAACACCGTGCCTAATATAGTAACACTAGGTTTCTCAAAGAAGGCACATAATGCCTCTCGTAAAGATTTCTACATTAGCATGAAATTATGTCCATCGACATCGACATGATGAGCTCATAACTCCGCATCAATCCACCGAAGCCCCTGCAATTGATTCGCATACCGAACACCAAACCCATGCTCAAACACCTGCCGCACACTCTCCAGCCCTAACCCAGCCGTTTCCGGATACGTGAAAATAATAAACACCCACCCAACGAAACAAACCCCAGCATAAAGCCCAAACGCACCCGACGCCGAGATCGCGCTCACAAGAGAAAGAAAAGTAGCCGAAACAAGAATATTCGAGCCCCCTATCCATTAAGAAGTTAGCATGGCACGCACCGTACCTAGTCTAAAACGCAACACACAACAACCAAGTAAAACTGGAACCAACGTACAACAAACCATAGTCAACATAGCCGTGCCAACGGCTCTGACTTCCAGCGCCAGGAATTCGTTAGCTAACCACGGCACATTGCCCAACGCGATCGCATAAAACGCCACGAATACTGCAAAGGAAACGATAGCAAGGACCTTCGCCCACAGCGGCGGGGTCGCCATAAGCTCTAGATTCGCATCGATGTCGATCTTCGAGAATGCCCCCGCTGCCATCGCTAACGCAACCGGTAACCCCCACACAGTGCCGATCAATAAGCGCCGACGGCCCAAGTCTACGAATTTCAGCGAGAGAGCCGTGAAGAGGAAATTGGTTCCGGAGACGATGAGACCCGCTTCGATGGGTCTTGAGAACCCCATTATATTGAAGAGTGTGGCGGAGTAGTACATCAGCGAATTGAAGCCGGAGAGCTGTTGTAGCGCCATGAGGCCGCAAGCTGTGATGAGCGATCGGAGATGTGAGGGGACAGTGTGGAGTTGTTTCCAGGACCAACATGCGCGCCGGATACCCTGGTCGAAGGAGACGGAGCGATTGACGTCGTCTTGGATCGTTTGGACGAGGGTCTGGATGTCGGAGGGAGGCGCTTGTGGGTAAATTTGTTGGAGCACCATTATCGCGTCTGCGGTTTGGTTCCGGTAGATGAGGTGTCGGGGGGTTTCGGGATAGATGGGGAACAGCGCGACTTGGATTAGAGCTGGGATAGCGCCGAAGGCGAACATGTAGCGCCATCCTTGCGACACGAGACTGAATATAGAGCCGATTGCGTAGGCGAGGGCTTGACCGCCTGTTACTGCTAGCGAGTAGACGGTGATCATGCGGCCGCGGCGGGAGGAGGGGGAGAGTTCAGAGATGTAGATTGGAGTTACCTGTGGTTTGTGTTAAGGATGGTATGTGGATAGAATAAGGTGTTCTAATTACCATGGTTTCGAGGCCCATGCCTACTCCAATGATGAATCGCGCGATGGACATTAGGGCAACTGAGTATGCGGATGATGCGATGACGGAGCCGACGGTGAACCAGATGCACCCCAGTCCTATGACCATTTTCCGTCCGATCTGTTAAGAAGGATTAGTTTTGTTTCTGAACATATGAAACCGGAATAAGGCAATTGAAGGCTTAAAGGGAGCAACATACAGCATCTGTGGTGAGAGCCGCGATCAATGCTCCGACAAAAGCACCACCGCTGGTAAGACTAGTCAAGAGTTGCTTCTCCTCCCTGCTGAGATCATGGCCCAGGTCTTTATGGAATACGACAAGAGCGCTTGAAATGATTCCGGTGTCGTAGCCGAAGAGAATACCTCCAATGGATGCTGAGAGGACGCATCCATAAACGAACCTCCGAGAATAAACCGGTGTGTAGAACGCAGGAAAGCGATGCGCAACATAACTTCTACGATTGCCTTCATCTACATGTTCTAGTTCAATTGCGTGTGGAAGACAGGAGGATTGATTGCCTGAGCGACCGCATTGTTTGGGGTGAAGGTGAGAGGATAGATATGCTTTCATGCCAGTGAAGAGAGATATAATTTCACAATGCCGGCTGCTGAGAAGGGGAATCCTCATTGAGCGGAGTATGTGGTAGATCCCCTGAATGACTCGGGGCCATAAAAGTGACAGGTAGTCATCGATTGACCCTGAGGAAAAAAGTAAAGTAGCAAATGGAGAGCTTGGGAATGGGTCCGAAGGAACGATGGCTGCGTCATCATGTGCCTTTGCCACCCCCAAACCCAATTATCGACAGCATCTCGCAACCATCTTTCTGATTCGGCGAATAATGTCGATCATAGTAAGCCACTAGTTTTAAAGCTTCCCCGGATATTGTGTTCCCCTCATTTTACTTAAGAGCGACTACTGGCCGCTTCGAAGTCCAGACACGAATCCAATTGTCACGCTATACGTGCAGACCCTATCGTTGCCCAGCATCTCGGAGATGATCAGCCGAAAGAGGACGGAGATCGTACAGCTCCCCTGTCGCAATCACAACTCTCCACAGATGCATAAATTTACGCGCAATTGTTGAGAACACTTAAGGGAGACGGGGGATGGAGAAATGGCGAGACTATGTAAAAACGTCCCTGACCGCAATTGAAGCGTAATGCTGACCCTTCTGCCTCGCGCAGGTCCTGTTCTGGGGCCTTTATCTGATTGCCCTGGTCTTCATGGCCCTTCGCGTTGCCTCGAGAATCTCAATTCGTGAGCGTCTGAAAGTTGACGATTACTTCGCCTTTTCGTCATTCGCGCTCCTGTCGGTTGAGACAGCCATCCACACGGCCGCCGTTTCACCATATATCGACGCGTTTAACGTAGCGCAAAACAGTGCGGATTTCAGGCAAGCTCTATCGGAAAGTCCAGCCTTGAGAGAAAATGTGGCAGTGGTGCTCCGATACTCTTTTGTACGTAGCTTGGCTCTGTAGACAATTTACCCTACAAGTTAACGCCCGCCAACGCATTTAGGCCTCTCTCATCATCTTTTGGCTTACGGTATGGTGCGTGAAGTTTTCGATGCTTTTCTTTCTTCGGCCAATTATGATGCCAATCCCAGTTTATCTGGAAGGGTACGTTGCGATAATACCATTTGACTTGCGGTGTTGATGAAATATTGTCTTCTAACGCGTTTTCATCAAGCTGGTATATCGTGCTCGGCTTCACGGTAATGAATCTCGTCGGATGTTTTCTTATACAATTCTTCGGATGCCTGCCTTTTGGGCTTAACTTCTCGGTCGAGGATGGTAGCAGAAACCCCACCATCTTGTACTTCTTGATAGATGGTTTGTTGACTGACCACAGATAACTGCATCTCCGGAAACTCCAGGGAGCCAGGCAAGCTCTATGGCACGACAGCTTTAGACACACTATCTGACGTTATGAGTATAAATGCACAGGCCCATAATGTGATGATGGCCGTGTTGAACTGACATTTTGGCGCACAGTCGTCATTCTCCCAACTCGACACCTCTTCGAACTGCCGGCAACAAAAAAACAGAAAGCGGGTCTTGTCGTAGTATTCGCGCTGGGATGGATAATTGTAACATTTCCCTTGTACCAATCTATTGCAGAACTACTGGCGACGCGATTGGACACTGACAAAACTTATCAGATCGCATTTTCACTTGTCCGAGCAATTCATGCTTCGAGGGCAGGCAACAATATCCTCGGCCCAGTAAATCAAGTCTGTACCCCTAGACCACGTTTCTATATGATTCCTGGCGGTTTGCGATTATAAGGCTAACAGGTGTTTGCGAATAGCGTTGGCTCGCAATCTGGAGCCATGTGGAATGTGTAGTTGGTCAGTGTTGTCCTCCTCTCGTGAAACGGCGATTCTAACGGTAATTCAGCGGTGACTGTGGCTTGTCTTCCACCAATCTGGGTTGGTTATCGGAAGCGTTGGAGGAGAGCACATGAATCCTCGATGTCGTGACGATCAACACGTGTTGTATATGCTGTGACACCTCACGCACTTGTCAAACCCTGATAGTGTAAAGATACATATTACAGAACAAGTCAACGTAAATACACTGATACTAATCCGTTGGTCGGTAACATCAATCCATCTATAACATGCTATTGCCAATACTCACACATTCAAAGCATGCAAAAGAAGCCAAAACGTAATTTAACAGACCATCTCCATAACTCAACCCCCAAGCCCCGGAATCTCAATCCGCAAAATGCCCTGCCACATGATGCGCAACAGCAGTTTCATCTCCCTCAAACACCCCACACACCGGACAAGTCACCACCGGACCATCGTGCACGGGTTTCTGAGGTTCATCTCGACGTGCACCCCGCCGCGGTCTTGCACTAACCATATATGCATCTAGACCGATATTTTGCGACGGAAGCTCTGCTTCGGAAGTTGTCCTTCTTGTCCTTTGTCCCTGTGTTGGGTCAGGTGGAGGACAAGAACCCCCCGTCCCCATGGATTGCACTCTCCCTACCCGGCCATCCGTGAGCCGGACTTTGATCCCCCGGGGATGGTTTCCGCGGGTGAGCACGTCGGCAATGGTTCCCGAGACGGTGCGACCGGTTGGTTGGTCAGCTTTTAAGATGATGTTGACGGGTGCACCGGGCACAACCTCCCTGGTTGTGGGGACGCGGGGCATAGTGTGTTTTGGATGTTGGGGGTTATTCTGTTGGGGTTGTATTGGGGATTATTTAAAGAGGTTTTTCTTCGCAGATGCCGGGGTGCACGGACTTTTTGATGATGCACTAAACTTATTTAGGTATTCTATATGGAAACCCACTGTACGGAGTATGGAGTATTAAAATACGATAGAAACATGTCTGTTATCAGCCCCAAGGGTTGCCCTCGAGATGTTGTACTTTAGAACATTTTGCTGTCTCTACAATATCACTACCACTCTATCTGTATACTTCCTCTCACGTCAAAAATCGCAAACCCGAGCTATCATATACTTGGTGACATTATTAAACCTTTACCTGAGTCATTTCATGACCACCAGATAATAATATTCCCCTCTTCTTTGCATATTCAAACAACATCTTCTCGATATCTTTATGGCCACTCCTTCTGGCCCACCAAAATACAGTCCGTCCAAAACAATTCCGGGAGTCACAGGCAACGATTTCAGTAGCTAGCAAGATCTTTACTTGCTCCGCATGAGAGTTTCGCACTGCTGATGATAACAGCGTCGAACCATCGTAGTCTACCTGATTCGGACTAATGACGCTGTTGGAAAGAATGAACGTTATTCCGACCCCATGACCAAATTTTGTAGCATAGAACAGTGATATTCGGCCAAAGCTGTCTTTCACGTTGGCCTTCAACTTCTTCATACTGAGCAGCGGCTTAACGACCACCTCGTGTCCGTTTTCTGCAGCTAGATATAGCCGAATCCCGCCATATAGAGTGTATCTAGTCTCCATATCAGTACCAATCTCGAGACGTAGCCTGACCACCATCTCGTATCCGTTCCATACGGCTAGCGACACCGGTATCCTTCTGGTACTGACATTGGAGACCCGACCAACTCTGCATGTCTCCAGGAGCTGCTCCACTGTTGTCCCGTATCTTTCCCATACTGCGGATGATACTATTCTTCCACGGCTGTTCTTGAAGTCCGGCTCAGCTCTTCCCGTCGCTAGTGGTTGCTCCATTATTGCAGTATGTCCATATCCCATGGCGTGTAATAGCGGTAGTAGCTCGTTATTAGCCAGAGAGTCTGCAGCTATATCTTTTTCGAGAAGCAGCTTGCTGATAGTGCTGTGCCCATTTTGCGCAGCATATGATAATGGGGTTCGACCATGGCTGTCAATTGCGTCGGGTTCGGCTCGTTTTTTGAGAAGCGTCTTAACCGCTTCTTCAACCCCAAAATATGCTGCCAAGTGAAGTCCTGTCACTTTCCTCGGAAATTTCTGGTAATGGTGTTCTATATACGGCTGCGCAGAATTGGGAGCCATCAATGCCTGGGCTGATGCTTCCACCTTCATGCCACAACTTAGAAATTCTATGACTTCAGGGCATAGAGTCGAAGCATCACGAGCATGATGTCCCCAGTATTGTGCAGCATAGTTATAGAAGGGACATGACTGCAAGCGCTTTTCGAATTCTTCGTCTGTGTCGCAAGGCCCGCCCTGAAAAGCACTGAATGATAGGTATATGACGCAGGATTTTGTGATTTCTGACTCCCCACCCGAGAACCACCGCTGCTGTGTCCTTTGAAAATAATCTTGCGTGGTGTAGTGGGCCAATCGGATGGTGCCGTTTTCTTCATCGATTGTGACTAGCCCAACACACAGTGATTGCAGGAGATTAATGCTTGGAAGGTAATCTTCATCTAGTTCCGCAGTATGCGGCCTAACCGCAAGGGCATGCTGGAGCTCTAATGTAAGAAGGGGCCTTCTAGCATAAAAAGTCCATGCCAGAATTTGTTTCACTAAGTCTCGACATTCTTTCCCATGGTCCTCAATTCTTTTCATGGCTTGATCATATATTTTGTCTAACTTCTCTATTCCTTTAGTAAGAGTCTGCAGAGCGTGTTTAATATGCCCTCTCGTTGGTAACGATAAGAGTGAATCCATATGTAGCTCTGCTAGTAGAAACCTATATTCGATGTTAGCCAAGGGCAGAGTGGTCTTTGTTGCGGTTCATGTGCTTACATCCCGTCAGTTGCCTTGATAACATCTCTCTTGATTGTGCTTTTAATGGTATCGTCGAAGATATCTGAGTGTTGGAGTCGCATCCTCTCATCCAAATACATCTCTATGTCGTCATCTCTTGCATAGACTTTCAGATATATTGCCTTAGCAAATTTCTTCCCAATCCCATCGTCTATTCGAGAGGTTATGAATATATTCGCTCCATTCTTTGCCTGGAGACCAGAAATTTCGGAGAGAAGCTTCATCCGACAGCCTTCGGATGTTTGGCATTCGTCAAGCGCATCGACAATGATAAATACCCTCGAGTATTTTGCAACAATGGAGTGGAGAGCACTCAATATGTCTTCTAGTGGTGGTCGCGTTCTTTGGGCCTTGTTGTGGTTAAATAGGACTTTCACACTCTCTGGTAAGGGAGAGCAGCTCTCCGTTAGCTGCTTCAGCAGACTCGCAAACAAGTGGTCAATATTCTGTTCATCCTTCCGCTGGAAGTTGCAATATATGTATGCGATGCCAACAGTTGGATCCCTGGAGAAGACGTTGATGAGATTGTGGACCACTATGGATGTGAGAACCGTTTTTCCTGCTCCAGGGATACCTGAGCAAAACAGTGTTTGGCGGCTTGTATTAAGCCATTTCTGGAACTCTACTGAGCGCAGAAGCCATTTACCAGTTCCAGGTTGCCGCCTCCTGAAGATATCACTTTGCTGAGGACCGTAGTCGATTGGTGTAAGCCAGTTAAGAACGTCCTGGTCTTCCTTCTTGTCCAATTTAGATCTCATCACTTTAAGATCGATCCTATTCCTGGACACGGTGTCATGAACTGCAGTTCTATTAGAAACCCAACTTTCACCCGGCAGGATAGGTCGAGAGTCACTGACTTTGGCCAAGCAAGTCCTTCACTGAACGTCCTTCTTCAACATCAGATGGTTTCACATATTCTAGCAGCTCCTTTGCAAATGCCGCGGCTACAGTTGCAGCATATTCCTGCCATTCCTGGTTCTCGTGCGAGTCTGCATAATTATATATTCCTCGAATAACAATGCATGGAAAGTCGTTCATTAATCCCGCTGCTTCCGTTTCAACACAAAGAACGTGGCCACCAAACTGACGGTCAAGCTTATCGCGAAAGGTAGCGTCCTTAATCGCTTGATTGCCCGATGCAATCAGCCCATAGTGCACGCGAACATCGCCAGGCTTGTTCTGGCCCCCTTCATGTCCAGTGTTCATTGCATTGCTTGTCACTTGTTCGGGCCCACTATGCCTGGGGGTAAACACCCGCCAGCCTAAGAGATATGTGACGAAGGTTAGGATCATCCCCAAGAGTCTCGAAATGACCTGCCATCTACTCCCACTCTGATGGAACTCATGTGTGTTCAAAGTGTCCTCGAAGGAATCACACTTTAAATACTTCGGTGACAGTCTTGGCCATTTCAGTTTTAGTCCGTCTAGGGTCTCGGGTATCTTGGTCCCATACAAGTCATGTTCCGTCTCTAGTTTTGTCAAGGCAGTGAGGAGTGAGGTTGGTGGATTATTTAGCGCCCCGGTCCGCTCGAAGCTGCCGTCCTTTGTCTTGCCCATGTCCCACTGAACTACACCTGGGAACTCACCCACGGGTGTGCTAACCACTACATCGCCGAGTCGGACCTTGGGTGGGATACCACCGCCGATACCAACCATGAGGCCGACTTTGATGGATGGGAATGTCCGTACCATCTAGATAGCGACAGTCGCGGCTGAATTGGTGCCGTACCTGCCTTTCGGCAAACAGGTTATGACGACGTTGTGCTTGCCGATGGATCCTAGGGTGTATGTGTTGTGGTCGTTGGATGGCTGGGGAAGACCAGGGTGTCTCTGGTCCAGCATGGTCGTTGCTGCAGTCTGCTCCTTGAGGAGCGTGCAGATCCATCCCACAGTATATTCATTGAGCCTTTTAGATTTGGTATCGGCTTGTGCGGTCATCGCGAAGGAACCGAGCTGGCTTCCTGAGATTAAGGTCACTCAGCCTTGTCGTTCGATGTGGGGCTAATGTGATTCCTGATATTCATATGGCGGACTAAACGTGGTCCCCTCCAGTGATACTAAATGTCACATTGAGAAAACTCATATATCAGTCAATATACATATGATCGATCTACCACTCATACTTTTGCTCGAAAACACATTTTTATGCGGTTGCCAACAATGCAAGTCCTAAAAGATTCAACATAGCCTAAGCGACTATCTTAGTGTTTCCCTATAGGGAAGGTCGGCGCTTACGACAGCACCGCCAACTCTCCCAGCCCCGATTTAGGGTTAAACCAGCAGGGAAACGTCCACGGACTATGTGCTAGGTTTTTTTTATGATCCGGCGAGCAGGGGTTTTGCTCAAACTAACGTTGAATATTCGTCTTTCAGGGAAACGAATCTGGGTTTACTGGGGGAAGTAGATGACGCCAAGCCTGAACGAATAAAAGAGAATCTAAATGTTAGTTGTCAAATTCAGCACTCTCGCAGCTGAGATACACTTCGATAATTTAGAAGTTAGTAATTTGTAAGGATAGATAATCATACAAGGCACGCAATAATGAAGATAAAGCACATGTAAAAGCTGTACAAGTATCTCGAATCATGTGCCTGTATTTTCTATTCGTTCATTAGTAAATCTCAAGAATATATTTGAACCTAGAGTGCAATACAAGGTTAAGTGGGAAGGAACCTCTAGGACAGAAAAAAAAAGGAATAGTATATCCCTGAATCCCGCTCTGGTAATCTGTAGACTATTTTAACCAGAATGTGGACACGTTTGGCAACCTTCGCCCTTTGCCAAAGGGGGTTTCATTGGAAATAGAGCTTGGTGTCTGCCATAAAAGTAGCAGCGCTGCGGTTGAACCACCTTTAGCCGCGCAATGGCCTCCCATGATTCTCCGATATTGCCAGATGCAGTGTACACAGGCTTGATATTGTTGTTTTTAGAAAAACTGCCGACAAAACGGTGATTTTATAAAATATGGCTACCAAGGGTGTTAGCTATTCTACGAGAGGATTAGACCTCCAAAAAATGCAATTGGTGGTCTTCTTGTATCCTCCCATAGATATACCGAAAGATATGCAGGATGTCCTCTATATATCTACACCACACCCATAAATAGACGAACAGCCATGAACGATAATCTTATGAAAACCGGCAATTACCACCCACGTAAATAGGGCTCCCCACGTTCACGATTCCGATGAGGGAAGGATATACGCGTGGGTAGAACATCTTCTAGAGCAATGCCTTACAACTCAGACACCCACGTCAGCTATTGTGAGCTGCACGATCATTGCCATATCAGTCTTAAAGCATACAGAAACCACGAGACATTCCCTGCAGATGGGAAGATAGATTCTCTCAATCATTACCTTTCTCGGTAACCCTACTGCGGTGTATCATCTTTCAGAAGCCGAAAATGTCTCAGCCGGTAAAACTCGCTCGGGTATCTGCCAACTTCGAAGGAAACCATTAACCTTCGTTGCCACGTTGACGTCGGATAAGAGTCTTTCTTCTCATCATTCACATGCACTGTAAGCAACAATTCATTGGGAATCGTTGGGATGCTAAATGTACGCTTTAGACTTAGTGCCTTATGTCCCAGTGTTTACATCAACAATCGTTCGCAATTGCGCTAGGTCGGGACGGCCCTTGTGTCTGTAAAGCCGGTTGCCATGATAATGGATACTCTGCAGCGTCCTGTAGCTATTGGCAATCGCCAGAAGTATATTCGATTGGCCTGAATAGGGAAAGTTCCACAATGGTCTCGACTGTCTAGCGGGCTTCTGTTAACTTTTCGCCATGCTTTTTAGCATTCTTGGTGGTTGCTTTGTATAGTCTAGGGATGTTCCTAAATTCTGTGTTCAGCGTGGAACTATATGCACAATGGGATTGTGCTATGAAACGGTCGCCTAATGAACCACCGGCCGGCTTCCCGGTAGACTCAAGAGGCCCAAGTTACCGACATGTAACTCATTTCCTATTTCGGGGCTATCTCAGCCGCTGCAGCTTTAGTCGACTCAATTACATCGCTGTTGCATGATAAGGAACACATGAACTGCCTATGTACCCAATAATACGAGTGAATGACAAGACTGGTGTGGTGTGATTCCATGGAACAGAGTGTCGTAATGCCTCTGGTGAACACCACGGATGCATCTATATATTGTCTATCATAATATGTCGCACTCCCCTAGAGAGTTGTTAAATTAATAAACGATTAATCAACCAACTCAAATCAGTGTAAACGTAGATAGAATGCATATACCTCCCCAATAGCAACATAAGCAAGAACTATGCAACTTCACCCTGACATCATCAACGTCGGGTATGAAATCCTCCGTCGAAACCGGTAATTCTCAGCGTCTTTGAAAAGCAAAATGAGGCAAAAATCCCCGCCACCCACGGACCAACATAGAAAGAAATGGAAGGCAGGAATGGTATCATTTCCCGCCTGGGCATCACGTGGTGTTGGAAGATGGACGTGCATAGAGCGAACCAAGCCCAACTAATACATACTAGTTGACTCGTCGTTTGTCTCCTCTTTTCTATTGAGTTCTGAGAAACTTCGGATAACTCTTCTTCATTTGTCCATCCGCTTCCGTAGTTTGCTATTTGCTTCGTTTTGATTCGTCCGATGACCCGCGTGATTAGATCAACCCTAAGGCGTGGACCACTCGGATGCGGGGAAATTGCGTTAACTTAACCTTAAGTTTGAGATTGGTCCGGGGTCGAGAAACTGGATGTTTGGCTTTACCCGGGGGACATCCTTGTCGACACTGATAGGAAGCGGAGAAAGAGAATGCTAGTAGTCTAATGTCCCCGTCAAATGACAGTGTCGCAGCTATACCCGCCTACCTTCCCTTTTCCCCTTCACGGTCATTGGGTAGTAATCCATCGAAATGCAGTGGATGTTCCCACCCGACGATAGGTTAAGGGCTTCGGTGTAGCTTATAAGATCGGCCAAAAAGGCAGACCTACGAGAAGTGGAGACCCCCCGACCTTCGGCTTCCCTCCGCATTTCACGTCAGGACTCTAGACTTCCCTCTCCCCTGAAAGTAGGAAATCTTGCCGTTTACGTCCCGGTCTGGGAAATCATCGTGTTGTAAACGACGTCATCAGTTGAGACTGGTCCCGACATGCATCAAGTCGGACCGGAGGACTAACCTCACCTGTCGATAGCCGATGTTAGATATAAATACACCGAATAACTTCGGGATAGGCTCGAAAAAAAGGGCAAGGTACTCCGCAACGGTGCCATAACACGCCACCTCTCCATCTTCAGGCAATCTTCTCTTTGCCGCTCCCAATTGAGTAATTTTTCTTCTCTTTCATTTCTTCCTTCCTCTTGTACATATCATACTATACCATCTACGTGCTACTGTACACTTGGGCCTCCTTCACATACTACCCGTCGACCATGAGCTCGATCGATCTAGACAAACGCAAGGATGGCCCGACAGTCGAACACGACGAGGATGCCATACCAGGCCTTCATCATCAAACTGTAGACCCCCATGTCGATCCGGATGCAATTTCATACGGCCCCAGTGGCGTCCAAGGACTTTTTTGCTCCAAATATGTCTTCGGTGCGGCCACCCTGGCCTCGCTAGGCGGGTTCTCCATGGGGTATGATATGGGTGTCATTTCCATCATCAATGTGATGGAACCGTTCCATCAGGCGTTTCCCAAAGCAGAAACCTCCTTCGGGAAGGGTCTGATGACTGGAATGTTGCTGCTGGGTGCCTTTATCGGTTGTATATTCATGTCTTATCTTTCGGATCGCATATCGAGAAAATGGGCAATCACGGCTATGGTGGTGGCTTTCGACATCGGTGCTATCCTACAGACAGCTGCCGTAAACTATGACATGCTAGTAGCCGGAAGATTCATCGGTGGTATTGGAGTTGGCACATTAGCAATGGTAAGCAGAGTCCTAACAACCAGGCCATACTCCCCAACCCTCCCAAAAGACCAAACACTAACCCAAAATCCCCGGTAACAGGGTGCCCCCCTCTACATCTCCGAAATCTCACCCCCAAACATGCGCGGCACACTTCTAGTCCTCGAATCCATCTCCATCTCCTTAGGTGTAGTAATAGCCTATTGGATCACCTTCGGAACACGCCACATGACTGGCGAAGCCTGCTTTCGCCTCCCCTTCGGCCTCCAAATGGTCTCAGCCACAGCCCTCGGTCTGGGCATCCACTTCTTCCCCTACTCGCCACGCTGGCTGGCGCTCGTAAACCGTGACGCCGAATGCCTGACCAGTCTTACGAAACTACGCAACCTCCCCGCCACTGACGAGCGCGTTCAGATCGAATACAACAGCATCATCTCCGAAGTCCGCTTCCAAAAGATCGTCCAGGAACGTAAACACCCCGGCGCAAAGGGCCTGAAGCTCGAGATCCTGTCATGGTTCGATCTGTTCTCAAAAGGAACCTTGAAACGTACGGCGGTTGGCTGCGGTATCGCATTCTTCCAGCAATTCTCGGGGATCAATGCCTTCATCTACTACGCGCCGACGCTCTTCGAATCTCTCGGCCAATCCTCGGAGATGTCGCTTATTCTCTCGGGTGTGTTTAACGTTCTCCAATTCGTTGCGGCAATTATCTGTTTCCTTCTCATTGAGAAAATCGGTCGGCGGCCGCTCGCTATTGGCGGTGCGTTTGGGATGGCAGGAGCGTATGTTATCATCGCAGTATTGTCGGGTGTGTACTCGAAAGACTGGCAAGCCAATATGGCGGCCGGCTGGGCGTGTGTGGCGATGGCGTTTGTGTTCATCTTGCTATACGGAGTCTCCTACTCGCCATTAGGTTGGGCCTTGCCATCTGAGGTATTCTCGACGACGTCACGTTCGAAAGGTGTAGCGCTTTCGACATGTGTGATTTGGCTGTCAGATTTTATTATCGGGTTGATTACGCCGTCGATGTTGGCCGATATTGAGTATCGGACGTACATCTTCTTCGCGGTGATGTGTTTTGTTGCAGGTATTTGGGCGATTCTGCTCGTGCCCGAGACGAGTGGGAAGTCCTTGGAGGAGATTGATGAGTTGTTTGGGGATGACAGTGCGAAGAAGGAGAGGGAGATTGCGGCGGCTGCTCTCGGTTCCTCCTCTGGAGAGAGAGGTGTTATGACTGTATGAACTTTTGCTTTTTCTTGTCTTCTTTCTCTTTGAAACTATATTCCCCTCTCTCATGTGTAGCGGTATTTTATTCTTGTATTAGATAGGACTTTATACTTGGATAGCCTCAGGAAGGATATAATTTTTACTTTGAGGTTTTGTGCTTGATCTCGTATATGACAATGCGTATGTATTTGCTCTCAAGCCAAAAGGCCAACTGGGTATCTCAGTTTTGCTTCACTCCCGCTTGCTGCTAACAGAAATCAAACTACGAGGAGGTAATGAAAGGGTGCTAAGTAATGCGTGATAAAGGAAGGACGTATCTAAACTTGAATGATCGTATGATCTTAAGAAGCCATGCCAGTCTATTGATAATAAGGAAAGTAAAAGAATGGTATCATCATAAGGGAGTGCAACATGAACAAGGAACGCATCTTTCGGGTATTGTTGAACACAAAATAATAAAAAGAAAAGAATAAAATCATTTTATCTTGTCCGTATTATATGCGCCAAACTCCCGCATTGCGACTGCTCTGCGCTCTACGACGTCTTCGCGACGCACGACGTTACGCAAGGCCTCGCTTGCCTGTATCAGGCCGTCAATGCTGATTGCATGGTTGGTCATTTGGTGATTGATATACGTGTATAGTTCCGCGGGAGTTGAGCAGGTTGTGAGAAGTTGCTGTTCGTTGAGCTTAAGAAGGGCAAGCGCAACTTGGAAAAGGAATGTGCTGCCTCCACCATTGCCGGAAGTGAGGTCTTTAATAGTGGACGTGGCGGTGTCATTGGGATCTCGAGGGCTAGACGTTGATGTATTGGCGGAAGTCGGGGCTGGATTGATGACGCTGGTGACATTGAGACAAAGAACCACGTCCCAGACGCGATACAATGCTTCCGCAGAGAGACAATCCGTGAACACGGATAGGAACCACTGGAATGTCAATGCCTCTAATTCAACGCCAAGAGCTTCTAGATGAGCGGCTAGCTTTGGTAGAACTTCGGAGATGTACTGGCGCAGCACAACCTGGTCAGCCCGGGACGCCAGCAGACCATGGTCGTAGTAATGTTCTGGGAGGATGATCTCGACCATGGATGCTAGAATCCAAAATGCGTCCTCTGCTGTCGGCGTTATAAGAAGTAGAGATGCGGCAATGAGATTCATGCCTTGGCAGTATCCCACTTCCGAGTTGCGACGGGCGTATGCGAGGAGAACCTCCTTGAGTTTAGTGACACCTGGGCCCTTGCGAAAGAATACGTTATCTGTTAAAGTCCGGTTGATGTCCATGTCGATTTGTGCAACGACAGATTGGTCGGGGTCATTGCCACCGACACCGTTCACTAGATCATCATAGTAACCAGGTATACGCATGGAAGACGCTCCGCTACATTCGGACCAGACCTTCGCTCGAAGTGTAACGGGAATTCCTCCGAGAACAAGAGCTCGGAACTCCCGCCACTTCGCACGGCCGACCTTGCCCTTATTCCCCAGGCCAGCTATCCCCACAACCTCGCCGTCTGTAAGGGACGCCTCAGGCATATCTACAGATTGCAAAGGCCGATCCGAAGCTGCGGCAGCGGCGGCAGCGGCTTCTCCCTCCTTCCTCCGTTCCGCACGCACCTTACGAAGAAACTCGTTCCACCGAACAGTCCTGTCGCGCTGCAGTGAGTCATGGAGGTCTGTCAGCTGTTCAAGAAGCAACTTCACAGGTTCGTTTTCGTTTGCAGTGGCGGTCGCTGCCGTAGCGGTAGGCTCATCACTCGATGTGCCAGCAAATTCTGGACGATCTGCAACAACAGTAGACGTTGATGCTGACGGTTGGGCATTCGCATTGACTGAGAGTGAGCCACGCTTATCGACAGCAACCCCAGGGCCACGAGGCTGGGCCTCACCTGCGGTTAGCGACACTATAGGACCAGCAGAAGGCGTATGGGACAACAGTTCGGCTGGTCCCGTCGCAATCCTCAGGTAGTCCTGCCACCTCCGGATTGCAACACTACCAGCCTCAGGGTCCTCAGGAGATGCAGGAGCGGGCGAGCGCGTAGACTCCGCAGTGGACTGTGGCAGCTTCGGGAGGTCATCGTTATCACCATCTGAGTTATCGCTTCGGAAACTGTTCAGGGTCTCCGCAATACTTATCCGGTTGTTGTTCTTGAGCAGACTGGCCTCTCGCTGCCTCTTTTTTCGGCGCTGATCATAAATGAATCCAAATCTGTCTGTCAAAAGCTCACCAGGCTGATAGTTGTTGTACATATGTGAGAGTGTCGGAGGTCGCGACTCCATCGGAAGGATAGCATCCATCTCAACCGGTCCGAGATTGGTTGGGTTCTTGTTAGTGGTTTCCGAGCTTGCCCCGTGTGAAACACTTGAGGCGGCATGTCTACGCCCAATCTGATTTGATCGAGTGGTCGCACCCGGGCCATTTGGCAATTTTCCAGGCGCCCCGTGCATGCTCGTGTTGCTGTTGATCCTTTTCAAGGCAGCCACCGCCGACATACCCCCTTTGGAGGTTGCTTGAACTGATGGAGAATCTCCTTTGCTACTCCCTCGATTGGTTGACAGAGCTCGGCCACGCGGCGCTTCTGCGTTATTTTCTTCCTTGCCTGCTTGGGCTTTTCCGGCAAACAGCTTGACTGTCCAAGACGATACAGATTTCGACGACTTGCGCGAATGAATACTGGCATCGTCACCGTTGACCGAGACCCCTGCAACGTGTTTAACCATAATCTCGCCCGTAGAGCTCGTCTGCTCATCCGGAGGATTGAAAAGTTGTTCGTCGAGCGCTTTCCGGCGCGTTATGTTATTCGGATTCCGCTGTCGCCGAGTATCTTCTTCATCGACCTCACCAACATCAGTCATTATGCTGCTCGCACGGCTGGTCCTTTTACTGCCCGTATTGCTGCCAAAAAGATAATCCTGCCAGTTGCGTAGGGAGCTTTGTCTCTTTCGCGTAGTTCCTGACCCCGATTCGACGCTAGATGTGCCCGATTTGGCGTCGCTCTCCAGGCGTTGCAGACCTCGAACGGTAGCTTGCACCGAAGTGGTTTCTGATGACTCCTCTTGACGAGAGCCTACTTCATCACACATCGCTTGCTGCATCAGCCCATGAACACCAGACGAAGAACCGGCCTCCTGTTCCGCATTACCGTTATCATCTTGTTCTTTCTCGGCCCTCCGGGGCGAGTTCTCCAGCGCATAAAGCCGCCGCTCAATATCCTGATTGGAGACGGAAACCTCCCTCAGCATCCTCTTCAACTCTCTCTCCCTCGCATCAGCCCGCTGTCTCAGTGACGAGATCTCAGCATCCCGCTGAGCCAAATCGCGTGCGAACTGCCGGACCAACTTCACAGCCCCCGTGCCAGCAATCAACCGCTCAATATGTGCATCATCCGCCAAATGTAGCGCACCAGGGAAATCATGGACTGGAACAGCATCGTCAAACAAAGCCGCACGGCCAGACGTTCGCGGCATTCCGCTCGTCAACTTCGCTAGCGTTGCTCTCCGATCACGACCAGTCATCTCACCCGAACTACTACTATCGACGCTCTCGTGATCATCCAGCAATGCGTTCGTAAGAGCGCGGTTTAACGCAGGCTTGCCGAAAAATCCCTCTACTGAACGGTCCGGCGAAAGGGAGGGAAATGACGTGAGGTCGGTGGTGGTAGCATTGGAAGACGCAGCTGACTGTCGTTTCTGAGATCTTGTACGGATGGGTCTAGGCTTTTGGCTGTGGCGGGAAGAGGAGGACGTCCGTGACGACGACCGACGCTGCGGATGTTCGATATCAGACTCCGCCATGACTCTTTGCAAAGTGTGTTGAGCAGACGGAGAATTGACCTGTAGACTTCATGAATCACTGTTTAGTCTGTCTTTACTGAGAGACTATTAATAGATAAGTCGATATGGAAGCCCGGTATCCGTCTCATCTAATTAACCCTTGGTACTCTCGCTAGTGGGATGTCGTGATTGCGTCTCATGGATGGGTAGAAATCTGCAGATCATCCCACAAACCTAAGAACAACAAAACACGGTGAACGGAATAGTGAAGAGTAAAGAGCGACAGAAGGTTCGCGAAGGGGGCAACCAAAAAGGCAAGAAAAGAAGAAAATAAAATAAAATACACGAGCAAGCAGTCTGGAATGCGTTTAAGCAAAGCAAAGAGCGTTGGCCATGACGTGGGACAAGGCATGTGACCTTGCCTGTTTGGTACTAATGCGGTAGATCGGCTTACTCACCAAATTCTTGGTTTCCAGTTATGTAATCGTCCTATTTCAAGTCAGCTGACCACAACCTCGGCTCCCCGCAAAACAGCCGACCCATGGCGCAATATCCGAGCTAATTTGAGCCATTAGAGGCATAACCACCTCGATACTTGTCACGTATTTCTTGCTCTATATTTATACCTAGCTGTTGACATTTATTCAAGGATTGTATATTTCTCCTTTTCAAAATATTGATCGAATACGGTATACAGAGTACACATACAGTAATTGCGATTTACTAAAGTATCTAAGATGTCCGGAGCTGCCAAACAACGTCTCCAAGCAGTCAGCCAGCAGCTGGTGGAGGGCGTCCCCGACGCAGGCACCTTTGAAGGTATCCCCAAAATTAGACAAGTTGCTCAGGACTCGGTTGGTCCGTAAGTGTATCTCGATCTTTCAAACCAGCATTCTCAAGCGAGAAACAATTGCATACATAGCTCAATACTAACTGTATTATAGCCGTGTCAAGGACAAGGTGGTGATCGTAACAGGTGAGTCCAGAACACTGAACCACAATTTTTTATGTACTTCAAACAGCATAGAATGCTAACGATGGAAATCTTTTTTTTTTTTTTAAAAAAAAGGAACCAACTCACCTGCCGGCATCGGTCGTGCCAGCGCTCATCAGTTCGCTCACAATGGTGCCAAGGCCGTCTACCTCTGTGACTACGACCCCACACATTTGGCAACTCACAAGCGTGAAATCGAATCCCTCTATCCTGGCGTCGAAGTCCATACCCGCCAGTTCGACGCAGCCGATGAAGTGGCCGTGAAATCCGTGGTTGATGATGCAATTCAGCGCTACGGCAGACTCGATATATTCTTCGCAAACGCAGGGATTGTGGGCCAGCCAAAGGTTTTCACAGATATCTCTGGGGAGGACTTTATGAAGACGCTAAAGACAAATACCCTTGGGTTAGTCCGCTTCTTGTTGAGATTGATGGGTAAAGGAGGACATGTACTGATCGCTGTGTCACTAGTGTCTTTTTAG